GATGCCTTCTAAATGTCAGGTAGTTATTTATCGCTTTGACATCTGATGGGAGGGCGTTCCACAGGGCGGGCGCCACTACCGAGAAGGACCTCTGCCTGGTTCCCTGTAGCTTTGCTTCTCGCAATGAGGGAACCGCCAGAAGGCCCTCGGCGCTGGACCTCAGCGTCCGGGCAGAACGATGGGGGTGGAGACGCTCCTTCAGGTATACTGGGCCGAGGCCGTTTAGGGCTTTAAAGGTCAACACCAACACTTTGAATTGTGCTCGGAAACGTACTGGGAGCCAATGTAGGTCTTTCAATTAGGACTTGTGTCCTAATTGTTCTGCCAGAGCATGTTGTTTAGTCGTTTAGTCGTGTCCGACTCTTCGTGACCCCATGGACCAGAGCACGCCAGGCACTTCTGTCCTCCACTGCCTCCCGCAGTTTGATCAAACTCATGCTGGTAGCTTCAAGAACACCATCCAACCATCTCATTCTCTGTCGTCCCCTTCTCCTTGTGCCCTCCATCTTTCCCAACATCAGGGTCTTTTCCAGGAGTCTTCTCTTCTCATGAGGTGGCCAAAGTATTGGAGCCTCAGCTTCACGATCTGTCCTTCCAGTGAGCACTCAGGGCTGATTTCCTTCAGAATGGAGAGGTTTGATCTTCTTGCAGTCCATGGGACTCTCAAGAGTCTCCTCCAGCACCATAATTCAAAAGCATCAATTCTTCGGCGATCAGCCTTCTTTATGGTCCAGCTCTCACTTCCATACATCACTACTGGGAAAACCATGGCTTTTACTATACGGACCTTTGTTGGCAAGGTGATGTCTCTGCTTTTAAGATGTTGTCTAGGTTTGCCATCGCCTTTCTCCCAAGGAGCAGGCGTCTTTTAATTTCGTGACTGCTGTCACCATCTGCAGTGATCATGGAGCCCAAGAAAGTAAAATCTCTCACTGCCTCCATTTCTTCCCCTTCTATTTGCCAGGAGGTGATGGGCCCAGTGGCCATGATCTTCGTTTTTTGATGTTGAGCTTCAGACCATATTTTGCGCTCTCCTCTTTCACCCTCATTAAAAGGTTCTTTAATTCCTCTTCACTTTCTGCCATCAAGGTTGTGTCATCTGCATATCTGAGGTTGTTGATATTTCTTCCGGCAATCTTAATTCCGGCTTGGGATTCATCCAGCCCAGCCTTTCGCATGATGAATTCTGCATATAAGTTAAATAAGCAGGGAGACAATATACAGCCTTGCCGTACTCCTTTCCCAATTTTGAACCAATCAGTTGTTCCATATCCAGTTCTAACTGTAGCTTCTTGTCCCACATAGAGATTTCTCAGGAGACAGATGAGGTGATCAGGCACTCCCATTTCTTTAAGAACTTGCCATAGTTTGCTGTGGTCGACACAGTCAAAGGCTTGCATAGTCAATGAAGCAGAAGTAGATGTCTTTCTGGAACTCTCTAGCTTTCTCCATAATCCAGCGCATGTTTGCAATTTGGTCTCTGGTTCCTCTGCCTCTTCTAAATCCAGCTTGCACTTCTGGGAGTTCTCGGTCCACATACTGCTTGAGCCTTCCTTGTAGAATTTTAAGCATAACCTTGCTAGCATGTGAAATGAGTGAAATTGTGCGGTAGTTGGAGCATTCTTTGGCACTGCCTTTCTTTGGGATTGGGATGTAGACTGATCTTCTCCAATCCTCTGGCCACTGCTGAGTTTTCCAAACTTGCTGGCATATTGAGTGTAGCACCTTAACAGCATCATCTTTTAAAATTTTAAACAGTTCAGCTGGAATACCATCACTTCCACTGGCCTTGTTATTAGCAATGCTTTCTAAGGCCCATTTGACTTCACTCTCCAGGATGTCTGGCTCAAGGTCAGCAACCACACTACCTGGGGTGTACTGAGACATCCATATCTTTCTGGTATAATTCCTCTGTGTATTCTTGCCACCTCTTCTTGATGTCTTCTGCTTCAGTTAGGTCTTTACCACTTTTGTCCTTTATTATGGTAATCTTTGTACGAAATGTTCCTTTCATATTTCCGATTTTCTTGAACAGATCTCTGGTTCTTCCCATTCTGTTGTTTTCCTCTATTTCTTTGCATTACTCGTTTAAGAAGGCCTTCTTGTCTCTCCTTGCTATTCTTTGGAAATCTGCATTCAATTTCCTGTATCTTTCACTATCTCCCTCGCATTTTGCTTGCCTTCTCTCCCCCGCTATTTGTAAGGCCTCATTGGACAGCCACTTTGCTTTCTTGCATTTCTTTTTCATTGGGATGGTTTTAGTTGCTGCCTCCTGTATAATGTTGTGAGCCTCCACCCATAGTTCTTCAGGCACTCTGTCCAGCAAATCTAAATCCTTAAACCTGTTCCTCACTTCCACTGTGTATTCATAAGGGATTTGGTTTAGATTGTATCTTACCTGTCCAGTGGTTTTTCCTACTTTCTTCAGTTTAAGCTTGAATTTTGCTATAAGAAGCTGATGATCTGAGCCACAGTCAGCTCTAGGTCTTGTTTTTGCTGACTGTATAGAGCTTCTCCATCTTTGGCTGCAGAGAATATAATCAATCTGATTTCGATGTTGCCCATCTGGTGATGTCCATGTGTAGAGTCGTCTCTTGTGTTGTTGGAAAAGCGTGTTTGTGATGACCAGCTTGTTCTCTTGACAGAACTCTATTAGCCTTTGCCCTGCTCCGTTTTGATCTCCAAGGCCAAACTTGCCAGTTGTTCCTTTTATCTCTTGACTCCCTACTTTAGCATTCCAATCCCCTATAATGAGAAGAACATCCTTCTTTGGTGTCACTTCTATAAGGTCTTGTAAGTCTTCATAAAATTGGTCAATTTCAGTTTCTTCAGCACCAGTAGTTGGTGCATAAACTTGGATTACTGTGGTGTTAAAAGGTCTGCCTTGGATTCGTATCGAGATAATTCTATCATTTTTGAGACTGCATCCCAGTACAGCTTTCGCCACTCTTTTGTTGACTATGAGGGCCACTCCATTTGTTTTACGGGTTTCTTGCCCACAGTAGTAGATATGATAGTCATCCGAACTGAATTCGCCCATTCCCGTCCATTTTAGCTCACTGATGCCCAGGATGTCAATATTTATTCTTGCCATCTCATTTTTGACCACATCCATCTTACCCAGGTTCATGGTTCTTACATTCCAGGTTCCTATGCAATATTTTTCTTTACAGCATTGGACTTTCCTTTCGTTTCCAGGCATATCCGCAACTGAGCGTCCTTTCGGCTTTGGCCCAGCCACTTCATCAGCTCTGGATCTACTTGTACTTGTCCTCCGCTCTTCCCCAGTAGCATGTTGGACACCTTCCGACCTGAGGGGCTCATCTTCCAGCGTCATAACTTTTATATGCCTGTCTTTGTCCATGGAGTTTTCTTGGCAGGGATACTGGAGTGGCTTGCCGGTTCCTGCTCCAGGTGGATCACGTTTGGTCAAAACTCTCCACTATGACCTGTTCATCTTGGGTGCCCTGCTCGGCATAGTTCATAGCTTCTCTGAGTTCTTCAAGCCCCTTTGCCACGGCAAGGCAGTGATCCATGAAGGGGTCTGCCAGAGCATGCAAACCAACAAACATCAAATTTCAGCAGTATACTGTTATTTAATTCCAGTAAACTAATTCTGAAGCCATTAATATTCCCTTCACTCTCTTAAACTCCTGCTTTAGGGGAAAAGAAAAATCTGCTGGTCAAGGTGTCTTTCAGCAGCATATTCTAACAGACAAAGGGGAAATAAATAAGTCGCACTATGGGAGACAAACAATTTTAATGAAATTCAATGACACCACAACACATTTAGTGGAGAGCCTAATGACGGCTTGCTTCTCCTTTGCTGACCCATAAAGTATTTCTTGCCTTTATTTCAGCAGGTGATACGCAGGTAACTGAGAAAGAAGGAGAATGTTGTGCGATATCTTCAATGGGGCCTGAGCACAAAGAGATGAACGGGAAGGGTATACAGGAAACTCAGGTGGAAGAGAGACCCTACCCTACGTCCCTTGTTCTGCATGAAAGAAGTCACACGGGAGAGAAGCCCTATAAATGTGAGGTGTGTGATAAAAGCTTCAGGTACAAGCCAAAACTTGCCCTACACTAACTCTAAACCCATGGATTACATAGGGTTGCCATTTCCATATTGTTTTGTCTAGCCCTCAAAAAGGGATTCCACATGTCTTCAGGGTCTGAAGGTCCTGGAGAGCACTGGGGGCACCCGCATCAAAATAGCTGCTATGGCGGGTTGGAGAAGCAAGACCCTTGGGGGGGCATTAAGGCTGTGAGCCCCTCCATCGGAGCTCAGGTTGCATAGATGTGTAAATAAACCATTTATTATCAAGATACCACTGTCTCAGCTATCCCTCATTCTGAGGAAACTGAGCCCTCGGTAAGCGCATGGAACCCCTGGGAATACCGCACCACTTGGAGATTGGGTGTGTGTGCAATAAATGGGCACACCTTAAATTTGTGGTGTGAACAAACGCAGCCCTCATTTCTTACTTGCAGAGGGTGAGTGAAAAAGATGGTGTGGACTGTTGCTCCCGCTTGAACAAAAGGTTGCTATTGAAAGGATTCCTTTCTGCTGTTTCAGTTGATACCGGAGGAGAAGGAAGAGGAGCCTGCAAATCTCCCTTATGCAGGCCAGGCTCCAGTTTTACTTGAGCAGAGACAGCTGCAGAAGGAAAACAAGGAGAACGAGGAGGGCAGGATTGTAGGCAAGTTCCATCTTCCCTACCCCTTTGCCCTCCCCCCCCCACTTGACTAAAGCCCCCCCATTTATATCTCACCTCTTTGCATATCCCCTCCCCCTGCAGTTCAACCTGTTCCTCATGCTTTGGTTGGCATGGCCACCTACTGGTCACCACATGAACTGCAGAGCGTGATAATACCTTACATTCTTATGTACGGTATCCAGGAAGGCAAGATAATCTGGAATTGTGCCAATGCATTCAGAATACCTGATTATCTTCCATAAGAAAATAAAATCCTGTCTTGGGTTAGACAAGGAAGTGGATCCTAATTGTTCCACTAGAGCACGCAAACCAACAAAAACATCAAACTTCAGCAGTATAAAAAAGGTAAAGGGACCCCTGACCATTAGGTCCAGTCGTGACCGACTCTGGGGTTGCGGCGCTCATCTCGCTTTATTGGCCGAGGGAGCCGGCGTACAGCTTCTGGGTCATGGGGCCAGCTTGACTAAGCCACTTCTGGTGAACCAGAGCAGAGCACGGAAACGCCATTTACCTTCCCGCCAGAGCGGTACCTATTTATCTACTGGCACTTTGGCGTGCTTTCGAACTAGTAGGTTGGCAGGAGCAGGGACTGAGCAACAGGAGCTCACCCCATCGCAGGGATTCAAACCGCTGACCTTCTGATCGGCAAGGCCTAGGCTCTGTGGTTTAACCCACAGTGCCCACCCGCATATACTGTTGTTTAATTCCAGTAAACTACCGGTCATTCTTAAACCATTAATATTCCCTTCAATCTCTTAAGCTCCTGCTTTAGAGGAAAGGAAAGATCTGCTGGGCAAGGTGTCTTTCAGCAGCATATTCTAACAGACATAGGGTTAATAAATAACTTGCACTATGAGAGATAGCCAATTTCAATGAATGAAATGACACATTTAGTGGAGAGCCAACGGAAGCTTTCCTTCTCCTTTGGGGTCCCATCAAGACTTTCTCCCCTTGATTTCAGCAGATGATATGCAGGTAACTGAGAATGAAGGAGAACGTTGTGCAATGTTCTCAATGGGGCCTGAGCACAAAGAGATGAACGAGAATGTTATGCAGAGAACTCAGGTGGAAGAGAGACCCTATCAATGTAGCCGATGTGGAAAAAGCTTCAAACACAAGCCGAACGTTTATGCACACCAAAGAGTTCACACAGGAGAGGCCCCTATTTATGTATGTGGTGTGGGAAAAGCTATAAGACCAAGACGTCCCTTGTTCTGCATGAAAGAAGTCACACGGGAGAGAAGCCCTACAAATGTGAGGAATGTGGAAGAAGCTTCAGTCGTAAGTCAATCCTTGCCACGCACCAAGTAACCCACACGGAAGAGAAGCCTTATAAATGTTCAGAATGCGGGCAGAGCTTCAGCCAAAAGTTCAACTTGAAAGTACACCAGAGAACCCACACAGGGGAGAGGTCATACAAATGCTCAGAATGTGGCAAGAGTTACCTTACTCAACCCAACCTTACGGTGCATCAAAGAATCCACACGGAAGAGAAGCCTTATAAATGCTCAGAATGTGGGCAGAGCTTCAGTCAAAAGAGCAATTTGAAAGTACACCAGAGAACCCATGAAGTGGAGAAAACATACAAACGCTCAAAATGCGACAATGACTTTACTTCTCCGTTTGATCTCATTAAACATAACAGGATGCACCTTGAAGAAGGACCTCACAAATGCTCAGAATGCGGAGAGAGCTTCAGGTGCAGCACCTCCCTTATGGCACATCAGAGAATTCATAGAGAAGAGGAGCCAGATTTTGGCCTGAGCCATGCTTCTGAACCAAGTCTTGTTGAGCATAATGTAACGCGCCCTGAAAAGAAATGTTTTGTATGTTCCATTTGTTCCAGAACATTTGGGTGCAGCAGAAGCCTTGGGTTACATCAACTGAAGCATAAATAGGAGACATCGCAGAGCTTCTCAGGCTGAAGCAAGACCCTTTTTAAAATATCCAATTAATCAGCACAAGACAATTCCCACCAAATAGCCCACAAGTGTGGGGAAATCTTTTATGATAGTGCACTCATTTCACGTCAGTTTAACCGGCACAAGACAGCAATGGAGAGGCAGAGAAATGTTGCAAATGCTTCTGTTTCTCCATTCTTCTACTTCAGTGTATTACTCCAATCACTGGTACTTCTTTTTAAATGCATGTTTTACTTGGCACTTGCTTCAGTAAGTATTTTAATGTGTTTGCTGTGTTCACGAATAAATTTTGTATGTTTTTACCCCTTTTGCTTCTCTTTTTATTACTCTCGCTCCCTGTCAAGGTTGCAGTTTTAAACATACTGTAACAACGTTTATTAAACAGGTTTTCTCATTGCACATGGTTGTAGAACCTCTGGCCTGTGGGCCAATCTGTCTTCCCTATTTCCCTTCTTATTCCCTTCTTATTTTTAATGTTCCTATGTGGAAAATATATGAAAATAAATTTTGGATTTAAATTTTAAAAGAGAACAGGAAGGCTAGGAATCAAAATGCAAGAGGAGAGAGAGGGAATCTTTCTCTCTCAGCTGCCTGGTTGCTGGTCTTCGCTCAGTTTTCCTCCCTGTGAACTTCATTTCCCAGCAGCCTTTGCAAATCCCTCAGAAACAATCAGCAGCTGGCCCCATTTACCTGAGCATGTGCACAGCTGGGGGAGAATAAGTCTGGGATGCAAGAGGCAAGTCATAAATTCAGCACCACCTGTCTAGAGCTCAAGAGAAAATGTCATGGGATCTTGTAGGACAAGCTTAACATAGAGTTCCCATTTCTGCTCTGCTTCCTGGGTGCTGACATCCTAGCTTTTAATCTTCCACCCCCAGAGTGAGTGCTGCATTGGGGCTGGATAGTAGACCCATTTTCCTTTCTACTTTCCAGCCCCAGGAGGAACATGGGGAGAATTCGCACAATATACCTACATACTTCAGCTAACACACTATTGTGTGGCGACACACAGTTTAGAAAACTCTGGGTTAATGTATCTGGGAGTGGGAGGCGGAAGGAGGGCTTTCCCGAGTTTAGTTTCAGTTTCAGTTCCCTTCTTTCTTGCTTGATCATCTTCCGTAAAGGAGCTTTGGCATTCAATGTTTCCTTATTTGGAGGTGTCCTTGAAGCAGAAATATTAGGTTTGAATACTGCACTGCTGGGGAGCTGGACCTCAAAGTCCCTGCCAGGAAGCAGCAGCATCCTTAGGAGTAGGTGTACTTTGCCGGTGTAAAAAAAATGACCACATTAATGCCATACTTTTAAAGGTACCTCTTTAAACAGTCCTGGCTTCCTCCAAGCATTCATTTCATTCATTCATTTTACTAACGTATATGCCGCTTGGTACAGCAAAATATTGAAGCAGTTCACACAATGTACAATGATCCCATCTCAAGCCAAAAGCAAGTACAGATTGTCAAAATACAGTAAGAACCAATCAATCAAAACATTAAGACTGGAATAATGCCTGTGTTCTGTTACAATGCTTCTTTAGATAAAGGCATAGGGCCCATATTTAAACCCGTATTTGCGGTTGATCTTAACTACTGCTTGTTCCTTGCAAAATGTATAGAAAAGAATACAGTGGTACCTCGGGTTAAGTACTTAATTCGTTCCGGAGGTCTATCCTTAACCTGAAACTGTTCTTAACCTGAAGCACCACTTTAGCTAATGGGGCCTCCCACTGCCGCTGGAGCACAATTTCTATTCTCATCCTGAAGCAAAGTTCTTAACCCGAGCTACTATTTCTGGGTTAGCGGAGTCTGTAACCTGAAGCATATGTAAACCGAGGTACCACTGTACATGCACAAATAGATGAGGGTCATGGTGTAGTGTTTGGAGGAAATCTGCTTTGGCCGAAGAGGCCAAAGAAATTGCTACAGCGTCTGTTGCAGAGGTTAAAGAGGTTCAAGGGAAGATACCACCGTTACATAAACAACTTGAAGACCATAGGTTAACCCTGTCTATGATTGAGTTGAAAGAGAAACAAGTGAATTTAAGGGTCAGAGCAGTACCTGAAGTGGAGAAGGACAATTTAGTTGATTTTCTTACGCAGGAATTCTCAGATTTTTGGAATCCAGAATTGGTAAAAGACAGTTTCAAAATAGTGAATGCTTTTAGACTTGGAAAAGCAGGAGGAAAGAAGGTGAGAGACTGTTTGATTACTCTCCGAACAAAAGAAGAGAGGGATAAGATCTTGGGTTTGCATTTCCAGAAGACACTGGAAATACATCAGACAAGAGTGGAGATATTTAAGGACATTCCAAACACCTTCTGGATCTCAGATCTAACTATAAAGACCTGGTTACTTTGTTGAAAAGTAATAGAATTAACTTCAGGTGGGAATTTCCTCAAGGCCTATCCTTTAGTTACAAAGGAAAGAAGAGGAAAATAAGATCGGAAGACGA